CCCCTGACCCCTTCTAGGAGCCAAATGAGCAAGAAAAATCCCCCTTTAAAAAAAAGGGCTTTTTTTTATGTAAAAAAAAAAAAAAAGAGTAAATAAAAACAGACTTTATCCTTTCTGCTCGGGTTCTGACAGCCACCAGCTGCTGGCCCTACTGCCTGCATTTATCTCTAGCGTTGGAGAGGAGAAGAGTCAGATGGTTAAGATAGAAACAATGTACAAGGCTAAGACAACCGTTACAGAATCTCTGCAGGGATGAAACTCAGAACAAAGCAGCCTGAATCATTCCCCATTAAAAAGAGGTTAAAAATCCTGGCTCAGTGCTACCCTGTGAGAAAGGAGAGACCTCCCACCCCCAGCCAGCCACCCCAGATCAGGAAATTAGGACAAGTCTTTCTGAAACCGCTCAAGCCCCACACCCAGTGTCCCTTGCAAAGCTGCCTCTGGCCAAGGTCTTCCTCACAAGGACTCCAGTCCCAACAGCCCCTTTAGAAAAGCAGTGACCAGCTGCCTTCTGGTCACTTCACTTCTGCCCCCCCAGCAGCATCCCCACCTCCAGCCTTCAGAGCATATTACATATCAAAATAACAGAAGGCAGCTGAAAGCATTGCTGTCCCATTCCAACTGGGTAGAGAAAAGCAAAGAGCCAGCAAGAGGGACACACTGAGATGGTCACTGGGGCACTGGGTCTGGGGATCAGCCGACAACTAACAAGCGGGTCCCAGCACTATAAAGCAAAAAGAAGGAATTTAATGTTCTAATCCTTTCATGATAAAAGTTAAAAAAAAAGTACCGAAGACTATCTGGGTGGACTATTTGATCTCCTCTAGCTGAAGGTCAAGCCAAGCATACTGGAGGTTAAAACCAACCAGAGCCCTTCAAATAACCAGTTGATCGTCCCCATCCAAATTGATTCAAATGGGCTGTGACAAAGCCAGTCCTCCAGATATCAACACATTCTGTGACTGTCAGGTAACAGCTCCAACCTTGGAAGAAAAGGAAGAAAGAGGCAGGAAAAAAGGGGGAGAAACGTTATTCCTCCCTCTCAAGATAAAAACAGAGACACCAAGAGCCAGGAGCTACAGCTTCCCTGAAGATACCACTTCTATTGGCATCGTGGTGTTCAGCTTTAGAGAGCAATCCAGCGCAGGGGCAGTCAGGCACCCCACTCCTCCGGAGACCCTTAAAACAGGATGAGGAGGGGGACCCGAGCAGGGTGTATCCTGGACAAACACACCTGCTCACTCCTATACACAGCAGAAAAGGAGCTCGGGACCTGCTGGCCCCTCTGCCATGTGGCCAGTCCTCTTTTTCTCAAGGCCTCAGACTCCTCCCTTCTCTACCGACGAGGTCGCCTGCTTTGGACAGATCCAGTTGCTTACTCTGAGCTCTCTTCTACCTCCTTCTGTTTCTTCTTCTTCTTCTTCTTGGTGCTGGGCTCACTGGCCTGTGAAGGGGTTGGAGAGGTCAGGAAGGAATCAAAAAGGAATGTCCCCCCTGCAACGTCCAACTGCTGATTTCAGGAGGAACAGCCCCACTCCAGACACAGTGGAGGCTCCCCACAGCCACAGTCTTCCCTCACCACCACACAAGCACCCAAGCACATCAACTGAATGCCACCATCCTCCCCACCAGGGCCCGTTACAGGCCACCAGGGCACAGAGGTGGCCTGGCAGAACAGTGTACCCACCAGCAACCCTCGGGCATAGGGATGGGGGATCCCTGCCCCACTGCAGATCTGCCCCCACAAGCCTCACCTGCCTGACCTCCCACCACCCTCAACCAGTTCAGTTTACAAATGCATCTATACAGACATCTTCATCTGCCTGTGGGAAGTGTAGGACACTGGGGACATGCAGAGCAGCATGCTGATGCATTTATCCTGGAGGTATTAGGGAGAGACAGCAACCTCTCCCATGCCACCACCCAGTCACATACCACTTCTATTTGCTCTCCTCCACTCTCAGCTGCCTCTTTGGCCTTCTTCTCTTTCTTCTTCTTTTTCTTCTCCTTTTTGGTCAGCTCCTCTGGCGGTGGGGTGGCAGGGGATGGTGGGGTGACAGCCTCATCACTTTCACTCTCCGACTCTCGCTTCCTCTGTTGGGGGAACAGGTTGTCAGACACATCATCTTCCAAAGAAGCTCGAGTGATAGGAGAATTGTTTGCAAGCCTGTTGCAACTGTTTTGCCCGATTTAATCAAACTTTGCAGTTAACAGGGGTTGGAAGGGACCTTTGAGATCACCCAGTCCAAAGCAGGTTCAACTAAAGCAGGTTGGACAGGAGGTTCACCTAAAGCATTCCAATTTCCTGGGATGCTGCAGCTCATACACCACAAGTCAGAGCTCCTCATTCTCATACTGGGCTACAGGACTCGCACCCAAATTACAACATCTCAGAGAAAAACACCCAGGGATAAGGCCCTAAACAAGTCACCCTATAGTTAGCTCATGGGCCAGGCAACCACAACACATGTTGGGGCACTGGACTCCCAGAATATGAAGCACCTTCCCCGTAAAACAACCAGCCAAAAAGCAGCCTGGTACCAACTGCCTAAAGGAACTGCTGCATATTCACTCTTCATCAGAGCCCAAATAACCTTATGGCCAGAGAGCACCAACAATACTCACTTTTGAAGCCCTCTCCACCTCTGAAACAGCTTGGGGAACAGCAGCTGCCTCTTTCTTGGAAGCATCCCTGAAAGAGAAGATCCCCAGGCTGAGCAGGACAGTGGCTGCCTCACGCTGCTCCCTGTCTGGGAAGGGGGAGGCTGGTGTGGGGAAGACCTGCAGCCTGCACCAGGGCCAGCTGGGCCGGGCAACGGCAAGGTCCTCCCCCATTTTAATTTAGCAGACTGACTCCCTCTAAAACCACAAGCACAGGCTAGAAAGGGATAACCGTCTGCTCAGGGCCTTTCCCTCCAGCACTGCCCACTTGCAGGACGTTCTCTGGGACTGCAAGAAATACCACCACACCCCACGGGTCCAGAGAGTCAACAGCTTGGGCCAGGACTAACATGGTCCAAGCACAAACAGCAGCACCCAGCCCAGCCACACACCCCGTACACACCTGTAATCCACATACTCCTTCTTCCAGGAATCCGGCGTGCTCTCGTTGGGCTTTCCATGCTTGTCCAGCAGACCCTTCTGGATCATCATCTTCTTTTGACTGGCCTGAGAGCAACATGCAACAAGTCAGACTGCAGCTCCAGGGAGGAGAAATCCTCCCCGGCACTTCAGCCACTCGGCCTAAGAGGAGGTAGTCCAGGAATAAGACAAGCCAACAACCACAACATTACTGATTTAACACTTCTCCAAGGACCTTCTGAACAAATCACATAAGCATCCCCTGCACAGCAGCCTACAAATCTCAGACAGCAGGTGTCTTTATCAGTAAACAAGGGCTAATTTGTGGGGGAAGTAACAGCAACAGAACACAGAGAATGACATGGGGTTGGAAGGGATCTCTGGAGATCACCTAGTCCAACCCCCAAGCAAGAATAAGATGACTGCACATCACGGAGCTCAGATCTTTGCATGAGTTCCTCCAGCTTCGTGACATGCCACATTTCAGCTGAACCCCTCCAGCTGCAAATGCAAGGCCTTGCTAAAGTCTCCATGCTGCTTGAAATGGCCTGCATCACCTCACACCTGCTGCGAGATAGATGTGCTTTCTACATTTCACCTGAACCACAGGAATGGAACAAGCCACAGCAACTTGACACTGAGTTTTAAGTCCAAACTGCATCACTTGCCACAGTGAAACACCCGTCCGGCTGCAGTGAAGCTACCACTGCTGACCTGCTGATTTCCATGGCTACCACATGCTTGAGATGGGAGAGAAACCCAACAACGGGTGTCCCCACTGCTCTGGTCGTTCAGGCACGATATAATGTCTCACAAGAGTTTACCTTTTGGCACTGTTGCAATTGCACCAGAAAGAAAAGCAGCTCTTTTGCCCATCCCCTCCAGAGCCATCAGTATGGGGTGATAGATGAAGGTCATCTTTGCACAGAGTGCTAATGCCATCTAATTTACATCATTTGGCTCTTTACCAGAGGGGGGGTGGTGCTCTACAGACCTGAGGAGCCCACACCTGAGCACCAGTGGCAGCCCCAGCTGGGCCTCAGGCAGAGCTGCCCTGTCTCCTTGGGGAGGGAAAACCTCTCTCCCACCAGCACTGGGAAGCACCACCATCCTGGCTCCAATGAGAGCACAGAAGTATTACACCAAGGCCTTGGAGAAGACACAGACACAGCTCTGCCTGAGGTGCCTGGAGTCTCATATCCCGACATCCCACCACCGCCCTAGGACTCACTGCACCCCCCTGACCGCTCACCTTGGGACCGAGACCCCATTTGCGGGGATAGGTGTCTCTCTCCATGATCACCCTCTTGATCTTCGCCACAATGCCATGGTCGCAGGTAGAAATGACAGCTGTGGTCATCAGGGCAATGGCTGCAGAACCAGGCAAAGAGTTCATTAACAGCAGAACTGCAACAGCAATGAATCTGCCACATTCAGCCTGTTCTTTGCGCTCCTCTGTCAGCACAAAGAGGAGCAACACACCCCCCCACCAATGCTATTTCACTCCAAAACCTCACTGGAGGTAAGTTCTGGACTAACGCTTCGGAGATTGTCAGTCATGGGTTAACCACACCATAAGCACAGGTGTCTCCAGCTTACACCAGGAGACCGGTTCTGGATCAGTGAACACAGCAAGACCAACCATTTCCCAGATGGAGAAAAGCTCTGTGAGCAGCTGCTGCAGCACTTCCAGGCAGCTCAAAGAATGATGCCACCATAGACAGGAGCAGTGCTGCTCCTTTGTCACCTCCCATAACCTTGAGGAGCCAAACTAGAGATTAATTCTACCAATAAATGATGTTTTTCTTGCCAAGTCCCTAAGATGACCAGAGTGCAGGCACTACAAACATCAAGGTGGAATGGTTTGGCTGTGTTACACCTCCAAGGCCCTTCACAATCCCATGGCTCTACCAGGGCACAAGGGCGTGCAGCACTGAGCATCGTGACAGATCATCTCTACAGTATGTCACCACCTGCCACCTACACATCCTTTTTGAAGACCCTGGTTAGAATAGAGCACCCTTTGGAGTCACCTCTCAAGTCCTTTTACACTGGAAGCGTGATGTGTCAGGTGACAGTGTGTGATCAGACATCATCCCTCGTCTCAGTGGGGATGGAGCCCCCCCAAAAGAGGGGCTCCAACCCTGCCGGCACCACTTCACTCCTGCAGGCAGCCAGCCAGACACCACAGCAGCCCCCAGTAGGACACTGGGAGACCAGAGGGTCTCTGGAGGCTGCACAGCACCCAGACCCTACAACAGGAATCGGGGTGCTGCAGGAGGGCGGCACCAGCGCACTCAGAGAATGGATAAACTTCATCATCACCTCACACAGAGGACACCTGAGCAGCACAGAGCTGAAACCAGGCTGAGGAACTCTTCACACCTTGCCAAGGGCAAGGGCTGATGAGTTTCATACCTAGGCAGATAGCTTCTCCTTTCGTGGTGATGACAACGATCTCCTGATTAAGCTCAATACCATCTTCATACCTCAGGACACCCGGCAGCATGATCTTGGCTCCATAGCAAATGGCATTAACCTGAAAGTGTAGGGAACAGGAGGGCTTATAAGCTATGAGAGAATAAAATAAAAAAATAAGAAGTGCCTCTAATATTTAGCTTCCCGTTGCCATTACTGTACCAGCAGTAACATCCCCACGTATCTATTTTTTCACTGTCCACTATATAAAACTTGGGGGCTTTAGAAAAAGCAAGCAAAGAACCTATCACAGCAAACAATGTGTGAGACAGATCTCTTATACCCATCAGCATCCTCCTGAAGTGAGGAGAGCAGCTTCTCTGCGACTCAGTTCTTGGCTCTTACATCTTACTGCTGATTTAGCAGCACCCATACTAGGTCCTACACAGCTCCCAGTCAGGACACCACGTGGATTCAGATCCCCCATTTATTTTATAAGCCCTCTGAAGGACACTCCACAGTGTCGCCTGGCACCACCTCAGGCACTCACCGCGCTGTCTTTCATGACCAGCCGCTTGTGTGAAGTCAGCAGTTTCTCCAGTGGCAGGATAACTCTTCGCAGGTAGCTGTCATCCTTGTTGTTGTCGTATTGCCACTGTGCATCCAGGACATCGTGCATAGTCACCATGTTGTCCTGCAAAGACACAAGCACCTCTAAGCTCTCCTACCAACCACCAACTCGAAACACAGCCAAGGGAACAGCTCGAGTCCAACAGCAAATAGTGTGCTGAAAGGGAGTGAAAAACATAAGCCCAACTCAGAAGCAGCAAAAAAAGAAACATAAAAAGGGCAAGAATATTTTCCATCAACAGCTTGAGGTCAGACTAAGTTGTGCTGCCACAGGCTTCAGCCTTCCTAATCTCAAACAGCTCTCGGATCTAATGTATAAGGTCTGTCCTCATGAAACTTTGAAATGTGGCCAAACTTCCAACAAATACCTGGGACTTCCAAAGGTTAGTGAACAGAAGTCTAAATTGACCAGCTCTTCAGTCTGTGATGTGGAATAAATTATTGAAGCAACTGCAAGCACACAACACCTGGGACTCAGACATGACAGCCAGTGATTACAGCTGTGGTAAGAGCACAAGTGGGTGAGGAAGCACTTGCACTCTGATACTCCTGCTTTGCAAGGAAAGAAATTAGCTCTGGAGTTTGGACAGGCAGCAGGATGCAGCTATGACCAGACTGAAAAGACAGTAGGAGACCACATCTCCCAGGGTGATTTCGATGAAGCACGTTCCCCACGTTGTGCCCTGACACCAAGCAGTGGCAGGCTGTGACACACACAGCTCACACACCTCCACCTGGGGCACGTGTGGGGTTTGTAGGCTGAGAAACACGGGTGGTTAAAACAAACCTTCAGCCACCGTGGTGCGCTTCCCAGTCACACACTGTCCCAAAGTTTAATTACCAGAGCAGGGGCAACACCCTGAACTGAACTCAACACTTTGGTTACAGTCTCTGGCAAAAGCTCCCACTTTTTGGGGGCTATTCACAAAACTCCTCCCAGTCACCACACAGCTATACCTTAACACTGTGAAAACAGCCCAGTTCCAAGGAAGACTTGCAATTCTAACAATTTCAAACGTGCTGGTTATAGTCAGAGCTACCACTCTACCTTCTCTCCCAGGATGCCCGAGCGCACTCTGCGGAGCTCCTGCATCTGGCCCCCGACGCCAAGCAGCAAACCAAGGTGAACACAGAGCGTTCGGATATACGTGCCTGCTTCACAGCTCACCCAGAAGATACCTGAAAAGCAGGACAGGACAGAAAAGCATTTAAATACATATCTAGAAACAAACCGCATCTAGGAGCTCCCTCCGAGAGCAGCTGTATGTCCAACCCTTCACAGAGCCATCAGCCTGGGGTGATAGATGAAGGTCATCTTTGCACCGAGTGCTAATGCCATCTAATTGACATCATTTGGCTCTTCAACGAAGGATACAAATAAAAGATGGGATTTACTTCTCAGCACACCAAAGTAATGCATAAAGCAGCTACTGCCTGATGATGGTGAGGGTTAATGTCTTAAGATATCGGCCGCAAATAGGAAACAGCCCATTTCACAGGAAAGTTTCCCCACTCTCAGCCTAATAGGAAGAAGGCAGGAAAGCCCCATTTTACCTAATCTCCTCTCAGGATCATACTCCACCAGCTTGCTCTCATAGATGGTTCGGACTCTCAGTTGTCGTTTGACAGCAGCAATGAGGGGCGGTCGCTGGAACAGCGCGCCTGTCAGAGTTTCAATTGCCTGAGGGCAGAAGCAGAAGTAACAGCTCACACTTATGTCTTAACATTGGAGCACCTGGGGGTCTGCAGCAACAAAGACCACTTCCACGGGTAAGAAACCAAAAGGTTCATCATAATTTGGTGATGTCATATTTAAGAAAGTGGATCTGAACCAGTGCTGTGGTCAAAATGCTACCCCGGCTGGCAGGGAGCACAGCTGGGCTTTTTCATCAGGTGACAGTGTGTGATCAGACATCATCCCTCGTCTCAGTGGGGATGGAGCCCCCCCAAAAGAGGGGCTCCAACCCTGCCGGCACCACTTCACTCCTGCAGGCAGCCAGCCAGACACCACAGCAGCCCCCAGTAGGACACTGGGAGACCAGAGGGTCTCTGGAGGCTGCACAGCACCCAGACCCTACAACAGGAATCGGGGTGCTGCAGGAGGGCGGCACCAGCGCACTCAGAGAATGGATAAACTTCATCATCACCTCACACAGAGGACACCTGAGCAGCACAGAGCTGAAACCAGGCTGAGGAACTCTTCACACCTTGCCAAGGGCAAGGGCTGATGAGTTTCATACCTAGGCAGATAGCTTCTCCTTTCGTGGTGATGACAACGATCTCCTGATTAAGCTCAATACCATCTTCATACCTCAGGACACCCGGCAGCATGATCTTGGCTCCATAGCAAATGGCATTAACCTGAAAGTGTAGGGAACAGGAGGGCTTATAAGCTATGAGAGAATAAAATAAAAAAATAAGAAGTGCCTCTAATATTTAGCTTCCCGTTGCCATTACTGTACCAGCAGTAACATCCCCACGTATCTATTTTTTCACTGTCCACTATATAAAACTTGGGGGCTTTAGAAAAAGCAAGCAAAGAACCTATCACAGCAAACAATGTGTGAGACAGATCTCTTATACCCATCAGCATCCTCCTGAAGTGAGGAGAGCAGCTTCTCTGCGACTCAGTTCTTGGCTCTTACATCTTACTGCTGATTTAGCAGCACCCATACTAGGTCCTACACAGCTCCCAGTCAGGACACCACGTGGATTCAGATCCCCCATTTATTTTATAAGCCCTCTGAAGGACACTCCACAGACTGGCTGTCGTCTGGCACCACCTCAGGCACTCACCGCGCTGTCTTTCATGACCAGCCGCTTGTGTGAAGTCAGCAGTTTCTCCAGTGGCAGGATAACTCTTCGCAGGTAGCTGTCATCCTTGTTGTTGTCGTATTGCCACTGTGCATCCAGGACATCGTGCATAGTCACCATGTTGTCCTGCAAAGACACAAGCACCTCTAAGCTCTCCTACCAACCACCAACTCGAAACACAGCCAAGGGAACAGCTCGAGTCCAACAGCAAATAGTGTGCTGAAAGGGAGTGAAAAACATAAGCCCAACTCAGAAGCAGCAAAAAAAGAAACATAAAAAGGGCAAGAATATTTTCCATCAACAGCTTGAGGTCAGACTAAGTTGTGCTGCCACAGGCTTCAGCCTTCCTAATCTCAAACAGCTCTCGGATCTAATGTATAAGGTCTGTCCTCATGAAACTTTGAAATGTGGCCAAACTTCCAACAAATACCTGGGACTTCCAAAGGTTAGTGAACAGAAGTCTAAATTGACCAGCTCTTCAGTCTGTGATGTGGAATAAATTATTGAAGCAACTGCAAGCACACAACACCTGGGACTCAGACATGACAGCCAGTGATTACAGCTGTGGTAAGAGCACAAGTGGGTGAGGAAGCACTTGCACTCTGATACTCCTGCTTTGCAAGGAAAGAAATTAGCTCTGGAGTTTGGACAGGCAGCAGGATGCAGCTATGACCAGACTGAAAAGACAGTAGGAGACCACATCTCCCAGGGTGATTTCGATGAAGCACGTTCCCCACGTTGTGCCCTGACACCAAGCAGTGGCAGGCTGTGACACACACAGCTCACACACCTCCACGTGGGGCACGTGTGGGGTTTGTAGGCTGAGAAACACGGGTGGTTAAAACAAACCTTCAGCCACCGTGGTGCGCTTCCCAGTCACACACTGTCCCAAAGTTTAATTACCAGAGCAGGGGCAACACCCTGAACTGAACTCAACACTTTGGTTACAGTCTCTGGCAAAAGCTCCCACTTTTTGGGGGCTATTCACAAAACTCCTCCCAGTCACCACACAGCTATACCTTAACACTGTGAAAACAGCCCAGTTCCAAGGAAGACTTGCAATTCTAACAATTTCAAACGTGCTGGTTATAGTCAGAGCTACCACTCTACCTTCTCTCCCAGGATGCCCGAGCGCACTCTGCGGAGCTCCTGCATCTGGCCCCCGACACCAAGCAGCAAACCAAGGTGAACACAGAGCGTTCGGATATACGTGCCTGCTTCACAGCTCACCCAGAAGATACCTGAAAAGCAGGACAGGACAGAAAAGCATTTAAATACATATCTAGAAACAAACCGCATCTAGGAGCTCCCTCCGAGAGCAGCTGTATGTCCAACCCTTCACAGAGCCATCAGCCTGGGGTGATAGATGAAGGTCATCTTTGCACCGAGTGCTAATGCCATCTAATTGACATCATTTGGCTCTTCAACGAAGGATACAAATAAAAGATGGGATTTACTTCTCAGCACACCAAAGTAATGCATAAAGCAGCTACTGCCTGATGATGGTGAGGGTTAACGTCTTAAGATATCGGCCGCAAATAGGAAGCAGCCCATTTCACAGGAAAGTTTCCCCACTCTCAGTCTAATAGGAAGAAGGCAAGAAAGCCCCGTTTTACCTAATCTTCTCTCAGGATCATACTCCACCAGCTTGCTCTCATAGATGGTTCGGACTCTCAGTTGTCGTTTGACAGCAGCAATGAGGGGCGGTCGCTGGAACAGCGCGCCTGTCAGAGTTTCAATTGCCTGAGGGCAGAAGCAGAAGTAACAGCTCACACCTATGTCTTAACATTGGAGCACCTTGGGGTCTGCGGCAACTAAGACCACTTCCATGGGTAAGAAACCAAAAGGTTCATCATTTGGTGATGTCATATTTAAGAAAGTCGATCTGAACCAGTGCTGTGGTCAAAATGCTACCCCGGCTGGCAGGGAGCACAGCTGGGCTTTTTCATCAGGTGACAGTGTGTGATCAGACATCATCCCTCGTCTCAGTGGGGATGGAGCCCCCCCAAAAGAGGGGCTCCAACCCTGCCGGCACCACTTCACTCCTGCAGGCAGCCAGCCAGACACCACAGCAGCCCCCAGTAGGACACTGGGAGACCAGAGGGTCTCTGGAGGCTGCACAGCACCCAGACCCTACAACAGGAATCGGGGTGCTGCAGGAGGGCGGCACCAGCGCACTCAGAGAATGGATAAACTTCATCATCACCTCACACAGAGGTCACCTGAGCTCCAGTCCTGCCCTCTCATCTCCCACCGATGCCGAACGCTTCGCGTGTAAAGCACCAGCATGGCCAAGAGCAGGAGAGACTTACCCTGGCAAGCTGAGCCTCGCTCTCTATTGCATTGTGCAGCCGAACAATTCCCACATACTCTTTGCCTGAAAGAACGACAAGAGCAGTCAGGAGTGGCCACTTGCATTTTATGTTGACCTCAAGGTCCACCCTGCTCCACAGCCACAGGTCCCCAGAGCCCTGGAAGTTTCACAGCCACCTCTCCTAGGAAGGGCGTACAGTTTATTACAGAGTTGACTGTTCTTCCAACAAAATAAATCTAAGCTACGTTTTATTTCTTCACTGAGTTTTATTTCGCTGGACTGAGAGGCTGAGGCTCTAAGTTCAGCAAGTATGTGAAACCAGTCTCTCAGAAGTCTGAGTTTTCACTTAAAACAGCACAAGCCCCAGAGAAACAATCAAAAAACCCAAACTTGTGACAGCACGGATGTGCCCTCACTGGCTTAGAGTGAGAAGCACGAGCAACCCGTAAGCTCAAGGCCACTGAAGACCAAGAGCAGCCCTTCCAAAGGCTGGAATTCTCCATTTTGTCTCCAAAAGAACTCCACGCCTCCCCAGTCACTTAAGACCATAAGACTTTGGGCAATAAACGTACCTGCGCTCTGCTGAGACTTGACGAGCCGTGTCGCCCTCTCAATGCACACAATGAGGCACCCAGTCACCTTGGGGTCCAGAGTGCCGCTGTGTCCAGTCTTCTCTACTCGAAGGATGCGTCGGATCCACGCAACCACCTCGTGGGAGGACGGATTGGAAGGTTTGTCGAGGTTAATAAAACCAGACCTATAGTGTGAGATGACAAAGAGAGCAGGAGGTAAGCATCAGGAGTTTCGCACACAGCAAATGTGCAAAAAACTTCAACGTTATTTGTGACAGCAGCAAAGAAATGTGTTTTTATACAGCCAAACAAGCCTCAAAGCTGCTCTCAGTGAGCATGTGTCGAGCTGCTCTGTGCACAGCAGGTGATACATTCTTCAAAGAATTCTCTTCTCCCCAGACTGCTCATCACTACTCTGCACTTCAACCAAACCAAAACTCGGAGCAATCTCAAAGGCCAAAGGACTTTCCAGGAGACCCAGAGAATTCCTCAAGCGTTGGCACGTCCCTCCACAACCCAGCCACAACCCCAGAACAAAGCAAACTCACAGCAAGTGACCAGCAGGTCCTATTTCATAGAATCATAGAATGGTCAGAGTTAGAAGAGACCTTAAAGATCATCAAGTTCCAACCCCCTGCCCTGGGCAGGGACACCTCCCACTAGACCAGGTTGCTCAAAAACCCATCCAGCCTGGCCTTGAACACCTCCAGGTGTAAATTTAGACATTTACCAGTTAGCAGCAAGGCACCGAGTCAAGCAGAAAGGTCCAAGGGGAATCCAGAACAGAAAAATGTTTTGAAGATATTAACTGTGAAAGAAAAATAAACCACTCTGGCCCTTCTTGGACTCACCTAACGTAGTCAGAAATCTCTCTCTTCAGGGGATTAGAGCCGGAAGGAAGAGGGGTGTAGTGTGCTGTCATCACATTTAACTTGTCGAAGTTCTACAAAATGCAAGCAGAAGTTACAAGTGTGTAAGAGCTCACTTTGGTGAGCTCTTTGCCCGACACATTGCCCCATTTACACAACGGCTGATTTACACATTTATGTGAAAAGGCCTCTTCCAAAATGAAAACGACCTAACAATGAATCCATAACGTTTTACAGAAAGAGAAAGAAACCCTGCACTGAAAGCGATGGCAGAGCAGCACAATACCAGCCTGTACAACGCAGGATAAATCCAACGTGCCCCAGAAACTCGCCACAAGCCTACACAGACCACAGGCCACTCTCAGGCTGAAGAAATCTGGTGTGGTCTTTACTGGATACGCTAAACTTTAGAAAGCAGGCACGCAAATGATACTGCTAAATGAGATAAATCATAGAATCATAGAATGGTTTGGGTTGGAAGGGACCTCAAAGATCATCTAGTTCCAACCCCCCTGCCGTGGGCAGGGACACCTCCCACTAGAGCAGGTTGCTCAACGCCCCACCCAGCCTGGTCTTGAACACTTCCAGGCATGGGGCATCCACAACTTCCCCGGGCAACCTGTTCCAGGGTCTCACCACCCTCATAATAAAAAATTTCTGAGATCTAATCTGAATTTTTTTTCTTCCAATTTAAAACCGTTTCCCCTTGCCCTATCATTACTCTTCCTGGCAAAGAGTCCCTCCCCAGCTCTTCTATAGGCACCCTTCAGATATTGAAAGGCTGCTATAAGGTCTCCCCGGAGCCTCCTCTTCTCCAGGCTGAACAATCCCAGCTCCCTCAGCCTGTCTTCATAGGAGAGGTGCTCCATCCTTCTGATCATCTTCATGGCCCTCCGCTGCACCTGTTCCAGCCGGTCCATGTCCTTTCTGTGTTGAGGACTCCAAAGCTGGACACAGTATTCCAGGTGGGGAAAAAATTTCTAAGGCAATTTCCAGGTGGGGAAAAAATTTATAAGGCAATTTCCAGGTGGGGAAAAAAATTTCTAAGGCAATTTCTGCACGCAGAAGGTTTGTCTCTGCTGTGTATCATGTGTGCTGTGTCTGAGGAGGAGCTGAGCATCTCCACGGACCCACACTGAGGGACGGAGGAAGGACAAAAGGCGGCGCGGGGATGGCCACGAGGTTGTGTGGAACCTGCCCTACCTTCAGCAGCAGGGGCCATTGGGACGTGTCCAGCTGGGCGATGCGGGACTCGGGCTTGATGAAAAACTCCTCCGTGTGCTGAATCTCCTGGGGGCGGGTGAAATTAACGGCGATCAGACCGGGGAAACCCCGCAGGCCCGCGCTCCCGCCCGCTGCCACGCGGTCCCGTGAGCCCCCCCCCAAGCGGCGGCTTTTGCCCGCCACCACCGTAACCTCCGCTCCCTCCGGTGACGGCGGGGGGGAGGAAGAACGTTCGGGAGACGTTGCGAAGCCCATCGCTACTCCCCGGGCCCCACGGCCCGGTCCCTGGAAGCCCCCGGAGCCCCCGAGCCCAGCCCCGTTCTCACCGCTACATCCTCATCGGGGAGCGCCCGCTTCTCCTTCTTCCGCCGCTTCTTCACGCTGAAACCTGCGGGACAGGCCCGGCCCCGCCGCCCACCCACGTGGCGCCACGGCGGTCGCCGGCCCCGCGCTTACGCCGCTCCACCGGGGCTCCCCGGGCTTCCCTCCCACTCCCCCCAACCCACCCACCCCGCGCCCGGCCGAGGAGCGAGGCGCTCCCCCGCCGTTCCCCGCCGCTGCGCACCGTCCCCGTCCGCCATGGCCCCGCCGCGTGCTGCCGCCGCCGCCGCGCAGAGACCGGAAAGACCGCCCCTTTCCCGACAAGCCCCGCGGCAGCACGTGACCGCCGCCCCCCCCTCCCGCGCGGGCGGAAGTGGCGCCGTTAGGACCGGGACTTTCACCGGGAGAGACGAGCCGGGCCTGGGGCTCCCGCTGGCTGGGGGAAAGGGATCGGCCGGTGTCACCCACCGCACCTCTACCCGAAATCCAGAGAGAAGCAGCGGGCAGGCTCCGGTCCGTCCCGCCCCGGCATCGCCGTGGCCCGGGGAAGCCCACCGGAGAAGGGCCCTGCCTTACCCCCGGGACCACGGGACAGGGAACCGGCCCCGGGACACCCCCCCGCACCGACCCCGGTCCCGCAGGCAGCCCGGGCTGCGCAGCAGAGCCTCCTTGCTCGGGTTGGCTCATGCTAATTGCAATTAGTGCAGCAAGGGTCGCTCTCAGACCTGTGGACACGGGCCAGAGTCTCGCTAATTGCAATTAGTGCAGCAAGGGTCGCGCTCAGACCTGGGGATCCCATGAAGGGTCTCCACACCGACCCAAAAATTATCTACGGGCAGTTTTTAAGGATTCTGATTTCATACAATCCAGGCATCTTAGAGACATCCCTTCCCTGGGGATGAACTCTGCACAGCCAGCCCTCCAACCCCTACAAAATTAGAGCCACATGTTTTCTATTTTTTATAACCACCACACAATAGTCCAACAGTAACTTCCCCTCTTTTAATTAAAAAGGAAAGGCTCAGAAGTATTTCAAGGCATGGATCTTTATTTTTCCTTCACGCATGAAAAACTTGTGTGAGAACAAACTCCTCTTAAAAGATTCCAGAAAGGAATGTTGGCATTCCAGCTGGGAAAACTCCCAAGTCCCCAGTTGTTTCAGTGGGGAAGCTGAAAAACATTGGAAAAAAAAACCCCTGCTGTCTCTAGCCCCAAGCTGTTACAATCAGAAGGACACAAACACCTCTCTTACACCAGAATTACCTCTTGCCTCCGGCTTCTCTCCAGGGCTGCAAACGGGATCTCTCTCCCCCAAAGCCTCAGCCTTCTCCGGGGTCCCTGCAGGGTCTTTGCTGCCAGCGATTCTTTCTTCTCCCATCAGCTGGCTCTGTTACAACCTCTCTTCGTTTATACCACAGCCACAATTAGGGGGGGACCACCAGGGCCTCTCTGGCTTCCGCAATAAGGCATTTCCTTCTGGAGAGTCCATCCCAACCCTGCAGAGATGTGGCTCGGCCTGTGGGCAACAGCTGGATGCACCCAGGGCAGCGGGTTCATTTCCCCTCTGCTCTGAAGACTGGCCTTCTCCACCTCGCTCCTGGGAACGGGCCCAACAAGCCCAAGTGCCCAGCAGCAGAGAGGAACAGCAGCTGAGGAGAACCGAGCAAACAGTCCATGCCAAGAACTCATCCTTCTCCACCAGTTTCCTCCTCGTTCCCCTGACTGTAGGGGATCTGCCACCTCTCACTCTCAGTCCTCCAGGTTTCCAGCTCTTCTACACAAACGCAGTCAGGCCACCCCCGCTGGTCCCCAGGCGACCCCTTGAGAGCCAGCGACCAGCTCCTTTTCTCTGCCCCAAGAGCCAAAGGCCCGGCCTCGCCTTGGCTGCAGTGGCTTTTGTCGGCAGGAGGGAAATCAGCGTCTCGTGTTCGTGCCCTTGTTTATTTAAAGGCAACTCCATCGCAGGTGCTTCCCGGGTGCCCAACGCCGGCTCCCCACGACACACCCGGGCTCTGCCTCCGACGGGGCTCTGGGGCCGCTCCGGCACCGCCGCCCCCGCTGCCAACGGCGGGCCCTTCCCCCCCGGCGGAGGCGCAGAAGAGGGACGCGGCCGCTCGCCCGCCCCGGGCACGGAAGGCGCAGC